TTTTTGAGAGAGAGAGAGAGAGAGAGAGCGAGCGAGCAGGGAAGGGTCAGAGAGAGGGAGACCCAGAATCTGAAGCAGGCTCCAGGCTCTGAGCTGTCAGCACAGAGTCTGACACGGGGCTTGAACTCACAGACCGCGAGATCATGACCTGAGCCGAAGTCAGATGCTTAATCAACTGAGCCACGCGGGCGCCCCAAAGCAAAATCTTTCTTAAGTGCCATGGACAGGGAGGTGGAAAGGTTTCAATTAAGGTGAAAGTTCCAGTTGGTTAAGACTTAATTTCGGTGGTGTTCATTGAGCGGCCTCTGGTTCCTTCCCTGAGTATCTTCCCAAGATCAGTAAGTTCCTAAGAATCCAGGATTTACTTTGCTTTCCAAGGGGTGGAGGGAGATCATTTTGTCTCCCTGTTTCTCGACCCGTGAACTGGGGCCTGATCCCAGGGTCACGACTACTCGGCCGTATCGAGGATCCCCGATTCTTGGGGTGATGGTCGTGGAAGTGTCAGGGCTGGCAGCGTCTGTAGCTCTTTATTTGGAAAAGTGCCAGAAAGGTGCTTAATTGCACACTTTTCAACCCGTCTCCCTGTCGGGGGGGTGAGGGAGTGTGCCCCCCGATCGGGGCAGAGTCTCAGGACCGGCTGCTGTGTCTGTCACCAGCACATGGGGCCGCCGAGTTCACACAATGTCGCTATCCAGACTGTTCAGCTTAAAACACACACGCTGGATCCCAAAAATCTAGACGAAAGACAGAATGCCAAATTATCTCCTTGATGTTTCTCTGTTGATTGCATGTTGAAACAATAATATTTTGGCCACGTTGGAGTGAAATAAAATATATTGCTAAAATTAATTTTGCCCATTTCTTTTTCCTATTTTTTTTTTAAATGTAGTCCCCAGATAATTAAAAATGACCTGTGTGACTCACATTCTGTCTCTTCCAGACCGTGCCAGTTTAGAAGGAAGGGGTGTTCTCGGTCTTTTGTTGTGTGTTACATTTTTCTAGGGAAATCTTTCGGTGAAGAAGAGTTACTAACTTTTTCTTTTTGTTTTGCGGAGCACAGACAACAATTATTTGGGACGCCCACACAGGAGAAGCCAAACAACAGTTTCCGTTTCATTCCGGTGAGTTTGTTTTTTTGTTTTTTGGAATTCAGAATGGTAATTCACGGCAGCTCAATGTCCCTTAAAGTAATCACGAAGGATTGCAGGAAGGAGGCCACGAAATCTAGCTGGTAGCAGGGGAATGCATGTCACCGACCGCAGAACTGGTGTGGGCGTCTTTGCCCTGCTGTCCCCAGGGCGACGCTGTGTTGGGGTTCCCTGAGACCACGCCCAGACCCCAAAGTTCCCTGGGAGAACTCCCCAGACTCAGCAGGTAGATGTCCTCAGGGTCAGATGTATTACAGGGAAGAGATACAAAGCAAAATCAGAAGGCGAACAAAGTGAAATCCAGACCTTTCCGAGGGTCCTCTCCCAGCAGAATCACATGGCGCATCTGACATGCCCCCCCCAAAACCAGTGTGATAACACGTGCGAACAGCCGTCTGTCAAGAAAACTCATTAAGTTTCAGTGCCCGAGGTTTTTATTTATTATTGTTATTTTTTTTTTTATTTTAGAGTGCATGAGCAGGGGAGAGGGACGGGGTTGTAGAGGGGAGAGAGAGAAGTGGGCGTGGGGGGAGAATCCCAAGCAGGCTCCACACTCAGCACAGAGCCCAACACAGGGCTTGATCCCATGACCCCGGGATGATAACCTGAGCCGAAATCAAGAGTCAGAGGCTCAACCAACTGAGCCGTCCAGGTGCCCTTCAGTGCCTGAGGTTTATAATTTTTAAACTTCATTATTTTTTTAAATGTTTCCTTTTGAGAGAGCGCACACGCGTGAGCAAGGGAGGGGCAGAGAGAGAGGGAGACACAGAATCCGAAGCAGGCTCCATCCAGGCTCCGAGCTGTCGGCACAGAGCCCGACGCGGGCTCGGACCCTCGAACTGCGAGACCGTGACCTGAGCTGAAGTCAGAGGCTTAACCGACCGAGCCACCCAGGCGACTTAGGACTGTGTTCAGATGGGTAGTACTGCAAGGGGTACTTCAGCAGCGATTCCTCCTGATCAGGGCAGCTAGGAGTGAGGGAGAGCCCGGATGTCGCAGCTTATGTGCTGCTGCTTTGGAGATGTAGCACGTCTCTCCTGTGGCTGCCCTCGGAGCTTGGGGTCCTCAGCGGATACACTGCTTGGGGTGCCGGTGAATTTTGTTGTTAATGTTGCTTTCATCTAACACCACTGATGATATGGAAATTGCCAAACGAATTACAGAAAGTGATTTCTCACCAGGAAGGAGGCCCAGCTGCAAATGCAGGCGGCTCTCTGTTTCATCCTGTATCGAGTGGGGTGGGGGAGGGGTGCACACAAGGTGATATTTGCCGTGAGGATGAACTACTACGCATGCACGTCGTGGGCAACCATTGCCACTATCTAGTTCCGGAATATTTCCACCGCCGCCCCCAAAAGGAAATCCCTTCTCCATTAAGAAGTCCCTCCCCTTGGGGCGCCCGCGTGGCTCAGTCAGTTGAGCGTCGACTTCAGCTCAGGTCATGATCTCACGGTTCGTGAGTTTGAGCCCCATACTGGCTCTGAGGTGACAGCATGGAGCCTGCTTGCGATTCTCTCTCTCCCACTCTCTCCGCATCTCCCCCAAGCTCCATCGCTCACTCTCTCAAAATAAGTAAGTAAACCTAAAAAGAAAAAAGTTCCTCTCCTTACCCGACCGAGACCCTGGCAACCTAGTATCCATGGATCTGTGCGTGTTCCCATACGCGTGCTGCCCTGTGCTCCAGACCACATAGTGGAGTAAATGGCAAGTGAGAGTATCGGGCTAGTTTTCCGTGGTGTCGTCTGTCGTAAATGCCCGACGTGTCCTGACCTCTGTCGTGGGAGAGGATCCAGCAACAGGTTCGGAGCGTTAGAACACCCGGTGTGCTCACCCACGCGATGGGAGAGAACGTCTGTAACACACAAAGCTCTGGGTTCTACTTTTCAGAGGAAAAGATGGCCAAGAGAAACATCCATACAGTACCTCTCGCTCTTCAGAGAATTCGTTTACGAAGGTTTTCAGCAGAATATAATATTCCCCAAAGCATGTCTAAGACTTTACGGAAAGGTTTCCCATCCCACAGGCCCAAGAAGACCACAGACCACGCGTCATGTACTGAGAGACCTTCTCACCCATAATTTTGCTGCCCACGAGGTAGACCCGTAGCCCCTTGCTGGTTCTGGAAGTTCTAGGTGTTATTTGCCCTTTATTACAGTCAAGCGGAGTGTAGAGACTTCCAAGATGGAAAGATGGAAGAAAAGGAATGTGGTTTTTTCCCGGGCAAAACGCAGCCAGTGCGAGCTTATGGGGAGTCGCCTCCTTCAGCATTCACAGACTCCTTAATGGGCGGATCTGAGAACCTGCTCTGCCTTCCTAGGTTTTCCCCATGAACACCTGGTGGTAGGGCCTCCCTCCAGCAGCGTCACCCAGAAGCGATAGCTCAGAGCCTAACTGGGGAACACCACTCAGCAGTTAGAAGGAACAAATTATTTAGAAACTATTGGTAACGTGTAACAGCTTCTGGATCTCCACGGTGTTCTCTGGAGGGGAAAAATGCAATCAGCAAAGGTCACCTGCTGTATGGTTCCATTACATAGAACATTCTTGAGACGGTGAAATTCTATTTGTTTTTAATGCTTATTTATTTAAAAAAAAATTTTTTTTCAACGTTTTTTATTTATTTTTGGGACAGAGAGAGACCGAGCATGAACGGGGGAGGGGCAGAGAGAGAGGGAGACACAGAATCGGAAACAGGCTCCAGGCTCCGAGCCATCAGCCCAGGGCCCGACGCGGGGCTGGATCTCACAAGACCGTGTGATCATGACATGAACCGAAGTCGGGCGCTTTAACCGACTCGAGCCCCCCCAGGTGCCCCGAGATGATGAGAGTTTAGATTGGAGAACAGATCAGTGGAGGCAGAGTTTTGGGATGCCGCAGGGAAGGCTCTGGATCTTGACTGCGGGGGGCAGTCGCACAGAGCCCTCTGTGTGATGAAACGGCATGGGCCGACACACACGTACCATCATCTTTCTGGTCTTGATCTTGTAGGGCTGTAAAACACAACCACTGGGGAGCCTGGAGGAACAGTAATATTTCAAAATTACACTTAAAAAAACAAAAACAGCAGAGAAAGCCAGGCTGAGCCTCGAATGCTGATCGTTGAACCTTGCCGGCCCCTCTGTGGGCAGGGAGGCCGTGCAGACACCCACAATGGCTGGGCCTTGGTACCTGTCGCTCACCTGCACCGAATGGTGAGATCACACTGGGGCTTCTGAGGGTCCTGGACAGCGGCCGACTCACGGTGGGGCCAGCCACCTAAGTACAGAGGGTCCCCTCTTTGGACGGCAAGGGCTGGCGGATGTTAATTTTTATGAGCAGGTGGTAGACAGCGTCCCTGGAGTGCCCACCTGAGCGTCCTATTTCCAGGTATATGAATCACGTGGCCCGCACGGTGCAGAGGGTGGCCCGGGAATTCGGGATGTAGCTGGGGCGGTGTTGTAGGCGAGAGCAGCTGGGGTCTTGCCTCTCAGGCTCACGGGAGCGTCACTCCGACCACATGGGATCGGTTCCTTCGTTCTGTGTTGTACGCGTGAGAAATGCGCCCCAGGGACCGCGGGGCTATCCGGAAACACTGCCGGGGATGTGACCGAAAGGGACGGTCTTGGCTTTTGGAGAAGCCCGTGCTCGCTCTCGACCAAGTACACAGCCACAACAGCCACTCCGGGACGGAGCCGCACGCAGAGGCTGATGGGCCGCCTCGTGCGGCCACCCACTGTGGAACGTGGACCCCTGCAGAGGCCTGCCTGTCTCGCTCAAACACTGAAGAAGAGAAGGGGCAGTCCGATCGTCAGCCCAGCCTGAGTCCTCTGCATTCTTCTCCCGACCCGCTGCTAACTTGGCCTTTAAAAGAAACACGAGACATGGTTATGGTATTGACCAGTTGATGAAAACTTTGTGATCAGAGGTTTGGAGGAAGCTAACCCGCTTTCTCCTAGAAAGCAGGAGGCGTCAGGAGACAGCAGGGATGCCGAGTAGTGCGACGGAGAGGTCTGGTGCAGGGAGAGAGCCGTGAGGTGTAGGGAAGGCCATCACCATCCCCCAAACCCTCCACAGGGCTCTCGGAGCCCCTGGAAATGCCCAGGAGTCAGAAGGGGCGTTCATCACAAGTCCTGAGCCACTGTCCAGTTGTGTCCCCCAAAGGGATCAGTACCCTGAAGTTGGGGGGTGCATTGATGTGTTGCGGGACATTTTTAAAAATCGAGCTATCTTGAACGTAGGATAGGCAATCTTCTCCGTCTCCTTTTCTCTTTTTCCTCTCTAAAATACGACGCATCAGCCCATGCACCAGTGATGTCCCTGGAAGCAGCAAGGTGCAGATTCTCCCCTCCACTTTCTCACTGTGTCAGGGGAGCCGGACTCTCGTGCCACGGGGCACATGAACCATCATGGGGGTCTCTCCAGAGTGTCTGCTCCACAGATGTGCAGGGCGGGGTGGGGGGGGGGGGG